AAAAAAAAAAAAAAAAAAAAATCATCTCTCTTTTACTATCCGTAAGTCATCCTATCTAAATGAAGGCAAAACTGATTCAATTAGGATTGGTTCTTAAGAAGAGACCTTGGATTCTAACACAAGAGTTCAGCTAGGGGGCAGCTGGGTCTTCAGCTGCACCTGTGGTTTGGACCTCGGCCTCCCTCATCCTGAGCAGGCCCTGGATTGTAGGGAACACCAACCTTGGCTATTAAACCATTGGGAGACCACATAGAAAGCTGAGTAAGCCCATTTGTTAGTTGGTAACCTAATGACCAAAACAATCACGATACTAGCAACAAGCACTTTCTAAATATTATCTCATTTATAACTATAGGGAATGGGTACTATTACTATCTCCATTTCACAAATGATGAAACTAAGCCTGAAGAAATTAAGTGCTCTGCCATGGGTCAGAAGTGATAGAGTCAACATGTGATGATTCTGCTTCCAAATTGTGAGCTTGTGGCCTCGTGTGATGAAAGACAAGGCTTTAAGGCAGCTTACATTGGATGCATGTCATATTTATGCAAACAAGGTGGGAGATACGGTTAATACAGCTCCATCTGTGCCACAGCTCAAATAGGGCATGTGACTGAGGCAGCTGTTCTGACTTAAGGCATTTTAGTCTGAGGATATTTTGGTGCAAGAACAATTTGTCCCAGGATAATAAACAAACCAGCTGCCCACTTCTTTTTTGAAATTGCCAATTCTATTCCTCATTTCTCCCAGATCTCGGTCCAAGGACTGACAAATCAGAGATGTTCACCCCTGACAGGCTTATTACAACCTGAAACAGCCATTCTGGTGACCCTAATATGCACCCCTCCCTCACTGTAAGGCATCAAAAATAGCTGTGTCAAACAGCTGTGTCGACATGTGCTATTTCTGTCAAATCTGATTCCTCAAAGGATGACAACAATACTGACAGAGCTAGGCAGGTGAAACTCTAGGTTTGAGCTCTTTCTAGAACATGGAAAAATAAAAACATATTTTCATGGATGAAGAGCCCCAAACACATAAGGCTTCTGGATGATCCAGCTCACTCCTTTGATTTAACTCCTTTCCACCTGTTCTCTAACACCGTCAACCAGCCTTGAGTCCTACCTCCTTTACTTTATTTACCTACATCGAATCATTCCTGAAATAGCTATTTGGCGAAGAGCCCAGAGCTTCCCTTCTGGTATTGACAGTAAATAGCTAAGGCCATATGGCAGCAGTTTCTCATATTTACAGCAGTAGTTCACAACGAGGGGTAAGTTTATCCTCCTGAGGACATTTGTCAGTGTCTGGGGACATTTTTGGTTGTCAACACAGGGGGCAGGGCACAACTGGCTCTACAGGGTAGAAGCCAGGTAGATGCTGCTCTATATCCCACAATCTCACTTAACAGAATTATGGAGCCCCAGATGACAATTGTGCCTGAGATTCAGAAATCTTTATTTCAAGGCATCCCATTGTTTTTGTTTTTTTCTGGTACTAGGGATAGAATTCAGGTCCTTGCACTTGCGAAGCAGGCACCAGAACCACTGAGCTAAATCCCCAGCCCCCATTGTATTTTAAAAGCCTATACTTCTGAACAATCTGGCAGGCTGAGGCAGGAGGTTTGAAGTCTTGAGCCCAGCCTGGGCAACTTAGTGAGACCTTGTCTCAAAATAAAAAATTAAAAAGGGCTGGGGATGTAGCTTAATCGGAATGCCCTGTGTTCAATCCTTTGTACTGCAAAAAACAAAAACAAAGTCTAGACAAACCAATACCTCTGCCCCCAAACCTCAGGAGCCTGGAAAACCATTTGTTATGAACCTTCTCACAAATTTATTTGAATTAGTCTTGAAAAAATTGATATCCTAAAACAAGGGGAAAAAAGGCAAATTTTCTATGGAAGGAGAAAGCAAACTGTCAGAGTTTAAGTTTTTATAAAATGCAAAAGATATGTTAAGAAGCAGAAGGCAAAAATAGGTAAGCTTTTATGAGTAATGAGAAGGCCAGTCTTACGTAAGAAAGAAAATGTAATGGGTTTTAGCTCGAAATATCAGAATTAGTGAGTAAAAGAGGCATAGCAGCACACATTAGTGACATATATGGTAACCAATACTGGTCACAATTTGTCTTCTAGTATTTGATATATTCATGGGGATTTGGTTGCTGTCACAAGGCAGCCATATTGTGGGAAAGAAACATGAAAAGTGAAAAACAGGAAGGTTTAAAAGTTTGAACATGTGTACTATTGTAGATGTAATAAAAACAGATAGAGTCTTATGGACTATTTTAGGTACTGCTCTCACAGAAACAGCACAGTACTGATATCTTTTGGTGATATTTAAATTAGGATTTGAAACATTAAAGCTTTAGGCCATCACCAAGTCCCATTATAAAAAAATTAAATCTGAATAAAGGTTGTTTGAATATTTGCTGTAAAATAAATAAATTTGGATTAATAAGCTTTCTCTTTTATGAGGGAACCCCATTTTGATCTACTAGTCATATATCTAATTACTCAGTTTGCTTCGCAAAAATACCACTAAAAGATAAAACTAAACACTAGCTTGAAAAATACTATATTGAGACATACATACCATTCCCGCTTGCGTGTACTGAACAATCATGATTCACTAGCAGTGTGGTGGAGTTAGTGGAGTTACTACTTGACTGTAAGGAATTTGAAGAGCTGGATACTCCTTGGTTTACAGTCTGCTTCTTTAAACCATTAGTAGCAGTTTTACTCCAGTCTACAGCAGAATAAGCATTACAGAAAAACAGGGCGGTATGTTGAAGCTCAAATGCAAGAGAAAGATTACAGTGCAACAAGTTCTAGCAACTGATTTCTCACTCCAAGATCCTATAGAGAGGTCACACACATTTTACAGGTTGGTGTGATAAAAGGTACTTTCACTTAGACTATATACATTTGTTCTTCAAATGACTGCCCGGTTCAAAGTAACCTATATTCTCCTAAAACTAAAAGCCAAGATCATTTGATTGTGCCTATAAATATCCACTGAATTAGGTAGTAAATTCAGAGTCTCCCACTATCCTAACAAGAACAAGAATCAATTGTGTTGCAGTGTCTGATCGTTCTTGAATCCATACAAATAACTGACCTATGCGTACTGCCATTTCTCAAGTACAGAGTCTGGTTCCCCCAGACCCTGCAAAGGCAGTACTCAAGCAAAGGAATCCAGCCTCTTCAAATAGTATTTCTTTTGTCATATTTTCTTAAAAATGAGCTATATGCTCTACTACCAAAAGGGGATAGGTGAAAGTAACTTCAAAATAACCCAGTGGGTGTCAAAGTTTATATACAAAGTCTGGCCAGCTAACAAATAAAGCACCTGACAACCGGAACCTGTAGAGGGAGGGTTGAGTCAAGCTCTAAAAAGTTATAAAGGAAAATATTAAAAATTACTTTGAGAAATGAAACACATGTGCTCAGTAGGAAAGAAACTAAAAATTACACTGTTGCTTCTTTCAAGAAGCAGCCAGCACACTAACTGCTTACAAAATTCTCAGATATAAATAGATTTTAATTCAGTAGTTTTTTTTTTTTCTCCTGATGTTCACAATGTTTTCTGTTGTGTGGGCTCTGTTCACTGATTTTCAGATCCAGTGGTCCCTCAATATTATTGCCTTGGCTCTCAATTTATACATCTTTTCTCTGAGATTTCAGAGGAAGAGAAACAGTAAATCTTTACCAGAATTTTCAGCCAACCGTAACTTTCCACAACAAAGGTACCGCCTCCATTGCTTTCTGACATTCTCTTTTGCTACACAGTAGAAGATGAATATGAAAAATCCTAAAGGGGGAGAAAAGAACCATGACACAATGAATTCCAAATTAAGACCCGAATGTTATATGTTTACTTTGCATAAAAGATAAACTCTTTGGTAGCTAGGGCAAAATGAAATTTTACAAATTGAAGCTTTCTATGGAAAGGCATCCAGGTAATGCCTTCCCTTTTAATCTTTGTAAAACAAAGAATATTTTAAAAAGGAATGATGGTTTCACATTTCTGAAACTAAATTTACTGACTCTCTTCTCACATTTGATCCTTGGCCCTTCCCTGTCTTCCATTTACCCAGGATCCCAGCCATGACCTTGGCTCCTACCTCTCTCACCCTCTGGATTCAAAATGCATTTCTAAGTTCTGTTAAATGTCATCTTTGCCAGTCTCACATTCCTCTCTCCTGCTGTTCTGCTCACTGCTGGGCTCCTGGCTTGAGCCTTGCCCTACGTGCACCAAGCCTGAGGGTTGCACGGCAATGGGCACATCTACTACTTTCCTGCCTCCCTCCAAGATGCTCCAGGAAATTCTCCTCTATTGTCCTGGAAAAGAGCCAGCTGAAAACTTGAAAGGGCCCTTGGACTCCATCTCCTGCCCATCACTGTCCCTAGACAGATAGATAGATAGATAGATAGATAGTACCAATAAAATTTATTGGTACAATTTAGACTTTCTCATCTCTGCCACTCCCCAAGACTTTTGCCAATATTTGCTGAATGTATGGACAAATTCTGAGCTCTCTCTATCTCTCCCCTCCACACCTCATCTATCTACTTTTTTTTTTCAGTACTGGGTACTGAACCCACGGTCACTGCACTGAGCTACATTCACAGCCCTTTTGTATTTTGAGACAGGGTCTCCTTAAATCACTGAGTTGCCCAGGCTGGACTTGATCCTGCCTCACCTTCCTACAGTGCTAGGATCACAGGTGTGTACCACCATATCAGTTGTCTATTTTACAGTCATCATTTTAAAATACCACATTTGCTTCTAAAGGTACACATGTCCACCCTCAAGACTGATGTGTACATATTGCATACCTCTTCTCAAATTCCACCCTGGGAGGCCACCCTTGGTTGCATTAGGGGAGAAACAACACAGCCAGATTATGAATGAATGAATGAATGAATGAATCTATCTTCTTTAATCAACTCAAAAGCATTGTGAATTAGGTATTAATTCCCTTTTATAGAAAAAGTATTCATTCATACTCTAATGAAAAGATATTCTGGGGAAATGAAGAAAAAGAAGCAGGTTCACTTTCCACATTAAACACATGACGGTAGGTACCTAGCTTTAATGTTACTGAATAGTGTGATTTGGGTATATATGTATTTTTCTCTTAATGTGCCTATTTTAGTATGCCATTGTTGGCAAAACCCTTACAAATAATTTGCTTGGGGGGGGTTCTATTTAATACTATATAGTGCAACACCTACAATATACCAATTCAGGAACTTACACGTAAAAAATTAACAACCACATATATCCATCAAGCATTTTTCTGACCCCTCTTCTCTGGTATCAAACAAAATAAAAGACTAATGGCCAAATTTGGTATCTGAATTTCACCTCAGGGTGGGATTTCTTTGAATGTAACTAGGAGTGGGGGAGCACTAGGAGCTAAAAGCAACAGGAAGACAGGCACAGCAGAATGCAAAGAAAAGGCATCCCATACGAGGATGCGGATTCAAAGCAAGCCAAGGGACAGTGAATTATTGCCCATTGATTAATGTAAACCTATTGTTCATTAATATGAACCTATTAGCCTCCTTGGGCTTTTAATGCCAAAGCACTTACATTAAAAATTAACACTAGATAAGCCTTTTATAACACTGCTGTTTAGCAAGTTAGTAATTTGCTTTTCTAAATAATACAACTACAGTAAGAAGGTTCTAAAATGAAGTGGCCAACACACAGAGCCTGCACCCTGCTGCTACCAGGCCAGGTCTGCAATTTGTAAGGATTAACCCCTGGGAAATATTGTGCCATTTGTGTCTGGTTATTGCCTTCCTTTTCATTTATCATAGTCTCCAAACCAAACACTGGTGAGTCTGAACACTCATAGGGAAACTTATGCTATGTGTGTTTTATTGTATGGAGAATCTACTTCAAGAAATTAATTTAAAATATAAAAAGAAAGAACTAACTGAAGGAAGACTAACTGGATAATGATGGATACAAAGAAAGAGAAAAGCACTGTATCTTGAATTTAGTGAATACCTTTCTCCCAAGAATCTCCAAGCCCTTGCAACAAATATATCTTAGCCAGCACATAAGCCACTTTGCAAATACTCATTTAGCAGGGATTTTTATATTCAACTGGGATCATATTTATTGTTGTAGAGCTTACCTTGTAAGGTGTTAAAGATGGCAAAGAGATACATAAAAGTGACATTAACTGGTCCCCAGGCAAAGAAGGCAAAGCCCCAAGTAATTCCCAGTAAAAATGTAAGGCCAGCAATGCTCCTGAGGTCTTGAATACTAGTTTTTCGCTGGGCTCCCAATTGCTTCTTCTTTTTAATTCGACAGAGCTGAACCAGGACAACAATGAACATGCTGATATTCAGCAAAAATATCACACAGAAATATCCCACAACTGTAATATAGAATACTGCATTGCTATTGATCCAGCAGCTGGAATTTGGAGGGAAGAAAAATGGGGGAAAATAGATTACAATGATGAAATAATGTCCCAGAGGATATACTGAATGTATAACCTTTTACTGAAACATTTTCTATAAGAGAAAGAAAATGATAAAAACACTGTTCCATAAGGGAAAGAATCTAAGGGTTTATTTTAGAATATTTAAGTGATTACACATATTTTTAAAATGTATTTTTAACATTCTGGATTTCATCCAGGTAAATCCTAGTAATTCTATTCCATGAGTTTTTATTAATATAATTAATATAATTCTCCTTAATTCATATTCTTTCTCAAAATAGTTCCTCCGAATTTGTTACTTGACTTATAGTATGACATTTCCAACTAGCTTGTCTCATTACATATGATGGTGAGGGCTGTTGTCAAATATGACCAGTTTTATTAAGAAAAGAGCTGACATCAAAATGCTGATTAGGTCCTCTATTTCTTTGGAGAATTTAATTATCTAGTTCACGTCATATTGGTGTGGGGGAACTCTGTACTCACAAGTCATCTGGTGAGCCATTGGGGAATTTCCCATAGGATCCAAGCCCATAGTTGTTTAGGGATATAATCAAGACAGTTGTCACAACCACAGCTGGTACTCCTGGAAAATGGGAAACATTGGTCACACATACCTCTAACAACCAAAGGTGGTGAGAAGAAAGACTAGAGATCATTTTATTTTCTTCTTGTGGCATGGCAGAGGCTGGCTAGCTACTAAACCAGTTATTCTCCTTCTTTGGCACATGGCTGGAGGCTCCTAGCCTCCCTGGCATTCAGGTATGCATGGCCACATCACTAAGTTCTGGCCAGAGGGATACAGGCTGAAGTGATTTGCTTCACTCCAGATCTGCCTTATAGACACTATGAGATCCTCTGTTCTCTCTTTAGCCCCAAATACAGAGCAACCTTGAAAGCTCAGTTTGAGGCAGTTTTATCAACTTGGATCCTTGAATAACTGCAAAAGTAGAGACTCTTCCACTCCCTCTACTGGACTGCACATGAGTGAGAAATGATCTACTGAGACTTGAAGTCAGACTGAAGGCTCCTGTTATGACAGCTAGTGTTACTTAAGCAAGTCCTCAATTAATTATTTGGAACCTGGTGGATAAAGTCACCTTTGTTGGCTAATTTCTGGTTAGTGACTACCACTATGTTGGCTCTCTGAAGGGCCAACAAGTATTTCCACTTAGAGGAGACACAATGAGAAGGCCCCAAGAAAAGCCAGTTTAACATGGCTCTTGGCTGGGAAGGAGTGCTTCTCACACCTCCATGCTATCTCCTACTTTCCCCATGCCATCCAACTCATACTGTACGCACAGACCAACCACCAGCCAGTGTCGAGGCTCAGAGAAATAAAAGACAATTCCTTTTCACAGATTGCCTGGGGCACCGCGTACAACCCAATGTAATACTTCATTTAATTCTTTTGTATTTGTATTTTCTGATGATATTGGTATGTAATAACTTCCTAAGAGGTATTTTTCTAAAAAGAAAATACTGTCAAGCTGGGAGTGTAGCTCAGTGGTAGCAGTCTTGCCTCACATATGCCAAAGCCCTAGGTTCAATCCCCAGAGACTTTCAGGAAGATGGCAGGCCAGTAAGCAGCAACAAATCAGCCTCTCCAAGATTTGGAACCCAGACACTGGAAAATAATAACTTGGGGAAGGAAAGAAGGAGAGAGGTGGACCTCAGAGACAGAGAAATTCAAGAGACAGAGCATAATGCAGAAAAAGAAAGGGGCAACCTGCACTTTCTTGTCAGTTCTTGGCTTTTGGGATGAAAAAGGGAGACTGAATCTACAGAGACAAAGTGAAAGCAGGCAACTCCAGAGACCTCCAGGGAGAAATGCACCAGTGGAACAGAGCAGTGGATACTGTGCGCTACAACAGTGAGCCTGGGACTCAGAGCAGCCACAGTAGGGTTTTCAGTTAAACTTAGAGCTCCAGTGTTAAACTACCACAGTGATGGGAGCTGTCCATGACAAGAGAAACCCAGTGTTATAAGCTAAAGGACTCGAGCTCCAAACCCACGACCAGTCATAAGGTTCAGCCAGAACTTATATAGATTTAAGAGACCCAGAAATAATACCATGCCCTAATCCTACTGCCAGCTTGCTGGGATTATCCAGCATGGATCTGGGCTCTGACTACCTCCTTTGTCTATCCACAAGAATAGAATCACACCTTGAATTTGAAACTGCCACAAAAAAATTGACCCCAGAAGATAACTACAGCTTTGAAATCACAGAGACTCTTCTTAATTTTTTTCTTTTGGGTCTTGTTCTTATCCTTCCTCTTTTTTCTCTTCCACTTCTTCCTCCTTGCCCTCCCCTCCTCTCCTCCTTCTCCTTCTTCTTGATAGTCATTAAGTATAGAGCTCATTAAATGTATATTTCTTTATATTTTACATACAAAAATAAGAAGACAAACTTATTAACATGAGCACCAAGTCAATCACTCAGGAATCCAGGGAACTTTGTGCTGAGAGGCATTTGTACTTGGCTTTTCTTTCAATGAAAAATAAATGTCTATGTGCTGTCAGCTTGGTATTTCCTTAAACGCTGTAAAAAGCACTGACTCTCAAAGCTAGCTGACTATCTTAATCACCTCCAGAGTTTATAAAAAAAGGCACCAATGTTTGTATAACAGGTAGAACTGATTGGGATAAGCTGAGCCCTGGGCTTCTAGAACTATTCCACAGTCACAAAAGCCATCCTCTGCTGAGGGACTCTCCATGCCTGGATTTCAATGCATAATTGTTACTTTAAGCATTAGATAGATGAATCTCCCCTGATTAAAAAAAATAAATATCTTTTTTGGGGGCTATGGGGAAATCGAACTCAGGACCTTGCACTTGTGAGGCAGGCAGTGGAATCACTAAGCTAAATCCCTGGCCCTAAAAAATAAATATCCTAATAGGAAAAGACTTCATGAACAAATCCTCAGTAGCACGGGAACTAGCAGAAAGAATCAACAACTGGGATCTCATCTTATTAAAAAGCTTCTGCACTGCAAAAGAAACCATCAACAGAACCAAGAGACAACCTACAATGTGGGAAAAACTTTTTACCAGCTGCTCCTCAGACAAAGGACGATTATCTAAAATATATAAGGAACTCAACCAGCCCCCCGCAAAATGTAAAGACCCAATTCTAAAGTGGGCATCTGAAGTGAACAGACATTTCTCAGACAAAGAAATAAAAGCAGCAAGTAAATATATGAAAAAGTGCTCCACATCACTGGTCATTCGAGAGATGCAGATGAAAACAACCCTGAGATTCCACCTTACCCCACAAAGAATGGCTGCTATCAAGAAATCAATCAATAACAAATGTTGGCACGGTTGTGGGGAGAAAGGAACCCTTCTCCATTGTTGGTGGGAGTGCAGACTGGTGCAACCACTATGGAAGTCAATATGGAGATACCTCAAAGAACTAGGATTAGAGGTTCCATTTGACCCAGCCATCCCTCTGTTGGGTATCTTTCCAAAAGGAGTGAAAGAATCATACCACAGTGATATATGCGCACCCATGTTTATAGCGGCACAGTTTGTAATAGGTAAAACTTTGGAACAGCCCTTCTGCCCATCAATTGGAAACTGGATAAGGAAGATGTGGTTTTTCTATAAAATGGAATACTACTCAGCCATAAAGAATGAGAAAGTAGATTCATTCATAGTTAAATGGGTACATTTTGAGGATATACTTCTAAGTGAAATAAATAAGGCACACATATGCAAATACCGAATAGTTTCTCTGGTGTGAAAAACTAAAATAGTACTCAAGATCCTAATGGGACAATTAGCAAATAGGAAGAAAAGGACCAAAGGTGTAGGGACAGTGAGAAGGATAGGGAAGGGGGAATAAGGGAAAAGATAAATATCTTAGGGGATATTATTTTATTCACCATTTCCAGGCACACAGCAGGTGCTATATTTCAGAATTAACAATTCAGAAGCTTTATATACTTCTTTTATATCTCAATCACTATAGTGGATTGACTAATGGTCAACTTGTAATGCCCTGCTGAACTGAATCAGCATGGTCTAAGTGTGGAGGATCCATCTGAAGATTGTTACCAATAGCCATAAAAAGAGAAATGGGAAGGAAGATGTTGGCCTGTTGATTTTCTAGGAGAAGCTTGCTGAGGATGGTTTTCCTGATGCAAACTAGGCTGTTCTCATCGGAGGAGGAGCTTGGGGCTTCATGTCACTGGGAATGGCTGCTGTTTTCATCAGGGGTTCTGATCTTTACCGTGAGTATCACTTCCTGGCTCCAATGTGGATCCCTCAGCTTGGTGGCACAAATCCTTCATCTCATGACCACAGATTTTCTGGCTTCCACCACTGGCCTTTGGGCCTTCTAGATGCAGATCCTCAAAACAGACAAGCACGAGACATTGCCGTGGGCTCTAGGCCACTGGCTGGACTCGAGGAGGACATTGTCTTGGACTCTGATCCTTTAGCTGGATTTGTGTGGGAAACTGCTGGGATCCAGGCCCTCAACTGAATATTTTGGGCTTCTAGTGTGCGGTTAATCTCTTGCACTCCTTTGAATTTGACTCTATGGGTAATTATCATAAAATAACCTTGTAAGTAATGGGTCCTTTATTTAACGTATTCCCTTGCCTAACCCTGATGACTACAATAATCACTCTAGCAGTTTATGAACACAAGATTTCAAAAGATATTTATAGGGAAAAGGAATAAAGCAGTTGGGCTAATGTTTAAGACGAAATAAAAATCTTCTATAAACATTTAAAACAGGGCTGGGGATTTAGCTCAGTGGTTCCACCGTCTGCCTCACAAGTGCAAGGACCCGAGTTCAATCCCTGGTACCAAAAACAAAATAAATAAATAAAAAATAAAATAAACACACACACACACACACACACACACACACACACAAATAGATTAGGGCTGGGAATTTAGCCCAGTGGTTCCTCCGCCTGCTTTGCAAGCGTAAGGTTCCAAGTTCAATTCCCGTACCAAAAATAAAAAATAAAAATAAATAAATAAATAGATTAAAAGGTGAAAGAGAATATACAAAAGCATTCAATATTTAGCAGTTGATATTCAACAAGCTTCCAAATATTCTTCACATTCTTACACTTAGAAGCAAAGTAACCCTAAACAACTAGTTCTTCAGCTAATAGCCATAAGCACAGCCATAAGTTTTCTTTAGAAACAAAATTACAGATTATTCTTGATAATAACAGCTTAGTTTTCAAAATTCAAGTGCATAAAATTTTAGTACAATGATGATAATTTTTCCACATAATTGTATTTAAAAATAAAAGATGGTTTCTGGTTAAAATATTTGGTATCATCCACTGTTGTGTCCTTTCAGTTGTGATGTAGGAGCTTCTCAGCAGTCCCACATGATAAAACAACTATTCTGACACCTTTTCATACAATATATGTTAATTTAAGGAAATCTCATTAATAATAGACTTCCTTTCTAGAGCTAGATTCATAGATAAGATTTCATATATCAAAGCTCCACAAGTATTAGATAAATTTTAATTAAGTTAGTATCTTGGACTATGAAACTTTGGTTTTCTTAAAATCAGCATTGGCTGTTGGATGGTAGGTTTATCACCA